AGTGTAAACAGTTGAAAAAGCAAACACATCGAATGCAACAGGAAGACGCCGTTCATTTTTTAATTAGGAAACAGTCCGAGTAAAAGCAACCTTCCGTCCACATACAAGTGAAGCATCGACAATATCTAATGAAGCCAAGGCACGAATAGTTAGCGATGCGCGTAGGCATGCAAGTGGTCAGTATTACCGCGCATGTCATATTGGACACACGTCTACACTTCCCCAAGTTTTTGTTTATTTCCCGTCGAAGCTCGCGGGGTCAATGACACGCGTGTCAAAATGCTAAGTTCTATTAAAGTTTACAATTTTAATTTAATGGGAATCAAATGAGTGGGACATATTCAGTGTTTCATTAAATTTTTAATTCGTTTTTTTATTGTTACGTAAGTGATCTTGTGTTGTAATCAAACTTCCTTCCTTTATAAAATAATATTATCTAATAGAAAGAAATGTCTCCGACAAAATTTTGATGAACTTCTAAATCATTCTCTAACAATTAATTTGATTGATCGACATTAGTACATCTTTAAACAACATTTATATCCCCAAAAATCCTACCAAAATTCGACAGAATCGTTGAATAGTTTAAAATATTCATAGAAGATATAAATTATTTTCTATTTATATAGATACCGGAATTCACACAATAATATTCTTGAACTCTTATAACAATAATTTTTAACATAGGCCCGCCTACAAACGAATCACGTTAATAGCTTCACAAGTAATCATCGTATACGAAGTAATTTGTGAGATTTGAATTATTCCTCAAACGATTTATTACCATTTATTAAGTATTGAACAACTATTTTTTACAGGTAAAACATAACTCAGAGACTTATAATTTGAAATATCATAAAATTTTACGACTATCAATATGCGAACTAAAATTATTTTCATATTATTATGCCTCACTCCGATGATTCTATCAAAAGTTAGAAGATATTCGCGCTTGCAATCAGAACCGTTATCAAAGACGAGATGCGATTTGGTTTGCTACGATGCAAGAAAGGAAGATAAGGTTCAGGTAAAATTTTAAACAATTACGATATACATATTAATAGCTGTTGCCCACGACTCAGTCTGCGCAGATTAAAAATCCTAAAATAGCCAATGTGTGCTTCCAGACTATATTCTACATCTATGCCTAATTTCAGCGAGATATGTTAAGTCGTTTAAGATATGCCTTCAAACAAACATCCATCCATCCTAAACATTCGCATTTATAATATTAGTAAGATAAAATTTAATTGGATAACTTAGAATAATAAATTAAGTGTAATTAGAGATATAATACAAAATTACCTTGACGACCTTTAATTTCCCGAATTTAAATGTTGTTCGTTGGTATTTCATAATTTCCGGTTAGTAAGTTATTCCTACAAGTACAAAAAGACTGTTTTGTTTGTACAAATTGAGTAAATATACGTTGCTAAAATTCAATGTGCAAAAGGATATGGCCCCCAGAATATTTTTTTAGTCTCTCTTACGTGAATAAGTAGCTCCCTCCATAAAGTACAAAGAATGTATTGCAGCTTGTCTGCAAGCTAAATTGTGGTAAAGAGAAAAGGGAATAGCAGATATGCTCCAACATTGTAATTCTTATTTGTTATAGAAAATAAAGTCGGTGGCTCAGGGGTCAAGCACTTGAATTGCAATCTGCAGGTCCTGGGTTCTAATCCCGCTATGTACCAATGTGTTTTTCGATTTCCGATTTACATATGTACATTTATCCGACGTTCTTACCTGCACATATCTGAGAAGAAATTCAAAAGATATGTGTGAAGTCAACCAAGCCGCACTAGGCCAGCGTGGTTGACCATGGCCTTATCACCCTTAACTTAGGGTTCCGATCCCCTCGGTGGGGACGTATAGTTGATGATGATGATGATAGAAAATTAAAGATTATAAAGGAGAGTTGTACAATTTAAATAGACCGAGCTGAAGTCAGTTCAACAAACAAATGAACATCGAAATTCAAAGATAAAATCGAACAGTATTTTCCTTAAAGACCGGCAACGCATCTGCAGTTCCTCTGGTGTTGCACATGTCCATGGGCGTCGTTGATCACCTCGGTGTTCCCGCTGCTCGTTTGCCCCCTTCTCTTATTTAAAAAAAAAACAATTGAATAATTTTTACAGGTCTACATTCACTAGGTAAACAAAACAAAAGAAATATGTGGGTTATGCATCATCGAGTTAACAATTCATTACATACTCGATATGCAGACGCTAATTAAGTTAGTCAAATGAAACCAATGTAACGGACGTATATGAATGAGTCCTTTCAATCATACGATCTAAACATCTTAAATGCAAAAGTCAATATTCATTAACAGCTTTACTATTTCGTTAAAAGACTAACATAGTTCAATTTAAAATCGTGTTATCATTATTAGAATTAATGAACTCAACTTCAATAACTTTATTGAAAGTGTATTAAAAATCCTCTTGGTTATTTCTACTGGAATAAATATTCACAAGCTAAAATTATGTTGGAAATTAAAATGTAATAAAATAATACATAGTCATTAGTGAATTTTACGATTATTCAAGTAATTTGTTTTGAGAAAATATGATTAACAGTGACAAAGCATTTTTATAAGAGTAGGCTTAAATACAGATAAAATAAATGTCTTAACGAATATTAAGTTATATAAAATAGCTTCTTCTAAGAAAGCCACAATCTCATTAGTCCCAACGTAGAATAAATCATAATAATAAAACTCGATAGCATCAAGAGAGACAGGACAACACAACCAACATTTTTCAAGTGTCCACTAGATGTCAAAACATGACATAACCTTTGTCAGGATTCTTCAAAGAGCACATTGCCTAACGTACGTATGAAGTTGTAGTGTTTTGTTTCAGTGTCGCTCAACATGTCGATCACAAGAGAGGAAGCCGGGCACTTGTCCGAGCACAGACCACCCTCGGTGGGTAGCGGCATGCATAGAGGCATGCAACAGTGATGCGCAGTGCGACGGAACGCAGCGGTGCTGTAGACATGGCTGCAGCTCTGCGTGCAATGAACCAATCGACCTTCTAACCTTAGCTGGTAAAATTAGCTGGATATTGTACTGGTAGGATGGAAATCCATAATCGCTGCCTACTCCTCTGAGTCACCATCATTCGGAAAAGGATCAATACACCTTAAATTTTGAAAAATTGATATATTTGCTATGTAACGACATCTAAGGTTTAATTAGTTACTAACGAAGACTAAAGTGATCAAACCAGATAAAATTACAAGGACAACTATTATTTGTCATAATTACATTGGTTTTAAAGTAGTATTTGTCGTAGGTCTCCCAGCTTTACCGACACTGGACGAAATAAAAGAAAGGCGTCGCTCAGTGATCATCCAATGGTCAGACGGTGTCGGTGACGCAGCTCGTACTGTGCCCGGTAGAGTCCTCTATCTGCTGGAAGAGCAACATCATTTAGGTCCTAAGTACGAGGAGGCTGGCCTAGGCGAATGGAACCTTCTTATGAGAACTAACAAGTTAGTATTAATTCTAAGTATCGGCTTGTGGGAAAAGCTACACTCTAGTTTATCTGCGACTTTTGTTGCGCTTCTACCAAATCATAGTTCTGTGTACCAAGAATGCTTTGACCGCTTACAGTCATCGACCTGATTACATCGATCGGTTTAATTTGATTAAAAAAATGAATTTGAATGATCGATTAGTCCATAATCTAATCTACTTGACGTCTGTGATGGTTAAAAATTATTATGTCTCGTTTAAAACACATGAAAACATTAATATAATCTCGAAGTTGTTATCACACGCAATATTAATTAGTTTTTTTTTTGTTAATTTCTTTGATTCCCGTGTCAAGCTTGTCACAATTGATTACGAGTAATAATTAAAAACACTTCTTTTCATTATATCGAATGTAAAATACAAACAAGCGATAAGTTAAACTAACAAAAACAACGATAACCGTTTCGCTTGCGAGATCCGGTATTGTTTTTGGACTCTAGGATCATTTAAACCCGGACTCAAATACGAATGAGAAACTGTTGTAACTTGTATATCGAAATATTCATTAATAGGTCTTTGTTTCTGATATAGATCGGATGCAAAAACATTTGGCAGCTCTAATTAAATAGACACTGCAGATAATGCTATCGATTCGTACTATAATACTTCCTCAAGTTATCATTTCTTTGTACTAAAAGAAAGACGAATAGTAATTAACTTTTTATATAAGAAGGTACGAAAAGGCGATAGGCGATTCGTTGCTCGTTTGCCCCCTTCTCCTATAAAAAAAAGCGAGTAATCAGATTTCAACTGTTTATTGAAATTTAAAAGGATATAACCTCTATTTTAAAAATGTACATTTGGATCTTAAAATGATTATAGACAGACTGACATACTTACCGGTGGTTATTAACACCAAAATCTCTGTATAAAAACATCGTCATCCTTGTCATTAACTTTGACAATACAAAGACAACACTATATTTCAAATGGAGACTTTAGTCTTAGAAACTCACGGTTAATAATTTAACTAATGTTAATTTTTATATGTACATTTATTTTTTTCTAATTATTTATACCACTTCTATAACATATTTTCGTAATTTTTTTTTAATAAATCGAATTTCGTAACACAAGACAGATTAAGTGTTAAATTTACTATGTAATTATTAACAAAAACTAATTCATTAAAATTATAACAGTATAAAAACACTTAAAAAAACTCAATAGCTCTTAATATTTCTTTTAATATAATAAACACAACAGCGAAATTCTCAGAAACGCTTACTGTGTTCTCAGTAAGTTTCTCGTTGTCAATCAACGGTAGAGTTTAACTTCATAAGATTTCTTGCGTTCATTTTTAAATACACAAGTGATATAAATTATAAAGCACTAGTCGTCCGCGTCTCCGTTCGTGCGGAATTAAAAAAAAAAGTAGCAGCCTATGTGTTCTTCCAGACTGTATTCTGCATGCACACCAAATTTCAGCAAAATTCCTGCTGCCGTTCTGAAGCTTCCTTCAAACAAACCTCCATCCATCCATCTTATAATATAAACATTCGCGTTTATAATATTACTAATTGTCGCCCGCTACTCCGGCTACGCCGAATTAAAAAAAAAACTTAATTATTAGCTTACGTGTTCATTCAGACTGTGGTCTTCATGTACGCCATATTTCAGCAAAATCTGTACAGCCGTTCTGAAGACACCCTCAAACAAACATTCGCATTGATAATATTAGTAAGAGTAAGATAAAAAGTCCGCCGTCTTAATATTAAAGAGATGTAATAAAATAAGGCCAATGACTGGACTATCTGATTTACAGACCATTCTCAGAAACAATTTGCTAGATGATGACGCTCAATTGCATCATTGATAAAACACCTGATTAACGAACTATTAAATAACATTGGTATCGTAGAAATTATTATAAAAAAAATATATACCGCTCGGAGTATCAAGTAATTAAAACAAATGTAACTCGAATACTGAGGTCACAAAAGTTAATAGCTTACATTAACTAGACCTAAAAATAAAAGAAGAACAAATCCAATAAGAATTTATTGGCGAAAAAATTTGATGATATTAAAAACTACGATTTGAAGCAACTTTCCGTTTCGTATCGCATAACCGTAATAGTTTGCTTTGTCTCTATTATTTACAAACTATAACCACGTCTAAGTTTGTAAATACGGATGGATTCTTCCACAACAAAACACATGTCAAAGGGAATATGTGTCTGCGATTAGCCTGCTATTAAATATTTTCTTTGCCGAAACACTTGCGAAAATATTGTCTAATTTCCTTTGACAAAACATAAGTGGCATTGTATTCACAATACGGCTTTGCAAAGGTACATTATGATAAATTAATTAGAAAGGGCTTAACTAACGTTTGATCGTCCGGTGACAGCGCCGACTAGTTTCGAACCCGTCTATTTTGTTTTCTTGGCATTCGCGTCACTTCTCGCATTGGTGAGTTAAGCCGTTCCTAATTAATTTATTTACGACGACTACTTCTCTACTTCTACTAATACTTTTTTTTCATATACTTTAGGACAAAGGTATCTCTCCGTAACCATTTGAAACCTGGTCGATGGTACCGGTTTAGAGTGGCAGCGGTCAGTGCGTCAGGGACTCGAGGGTTTTCCGAACCCAGCGCACCGTTTACTCCGCGAAAAGGGCCGAGACCGCCTCCCGCGCCAAAGAAACTCAAAGTGCAACGGATCAATTCTGAAAATGGTAGGTTTATTGTAATTGTAATTTTACTATTAATTATTAAAGTTTTGTCATCTATAATTAATTTGGATTAATTCAACAATGATAAGTATTGCATTTAGTAAATTAATCTTACTTTTACTATGGTAATATTATAAATGCAAAAGTTTAGATGGATGGATGTTTGTTAGAACGTATCTCCGTAAAGACTTAACAGATCTTGATGAAATTTGGCACAGATTTAGATGTAGAACATAGTCTGATATATATGTAAATCGAAGATCGAAAAACACATTGGTACAAGGCGCGATTTGTACCCAAGACCTGCAGATTACAAGTCAAGCATCTAAACCTCTGAGCCACAGACGCGCTTCACAATTAATTAAAGTTTAAATATCACAGCCCTTTTATTATTAAAAGGAAATATACTTAAATAAACGATTTCAGGGAACGTGACAATAAAATTGGAATGGAAGGAACCACGCTCAGATCTACCAATCATGCGTTACAAAGTTTTCTGGAGTAGAAGAGTACGCGGACTGGGCAGAGAACTGGATTCGGTCCTAGTTAATCATCAGAGTGTACCAAAGGTAA